TCCCCACCAAGCGTTCATTTCCTCAAATCGGAAATCCAGATCGTTATGTATTATTCAATTCCTCTTTCCACATTTGGACGATCCTTGGCAATGGCAAATTTTTTACGGTTTATATAAATATCAAGGATTCATTTGGTATTCGTGTTTTGAGGAGGTTTATAAAAAGTAAACTGCCAGAGATTCTGATTGTTTCCACTCACGGATATATTTCTACTAATACGCTCCTCCTGAGGCATCGGCAAGATAAGAGATTATTAAAATATGCCGTGATTCTGGATGATTCAATATTTCTTGTGGTAAGTGATTGTATTATCATGTGCTTTCCTTGTTGAACAAGTAGTGAACATTTTGTTATTGTGAGATAGAGAAAAAAATAATCTCGTACGGATGGCAAGCAAATAATAGATAACCAAAAATAGGAACGAAATATACTAGAGTGAAGAAGATAATATGTACCATCACGGAACCTAGGGATAATCAAAATTTGGAGGCCAGAAGAAGTTTGGCATTGATAAGATGAGCACAGGTAATGCTGCAGGTCTCGACGAATTGATGTTTAAGTTAATAAGAGCCTGTTCTGGGGACATTTGTTACCCTTATTTGATCCCCGTTAATACGATTATATCTGGTATACAGATGTCCTAAAACCGAGCTGATACCTATGAAAAAAACCAAGGAATAAAATTCGTATAAGCCTTGGGAGACTGTGGCATTGAAGGAGGTCAAAAGGCATATTACCAGCAAAAAATAAGCCAACTATTTGGCCAGCCAGGCATTAAAATACATCATCAATAGTAAAGTCCAGAGCCGTTTGGGGTTAAAACAAGTCAGACTTTGGGGACAACAAGACTCTTCTTGTTTGAGTACAAGAGAACGCAGGGCACAGGGGCAATGAGGAGGCCGATAAATACGCCGAGGAATGTTTGATAAAGACACTCAATACTGAAGGCTTTTGTTACATATCAAATTGCCAAGAACGTAGATCCATAAGACTATGGGGAAAGAGTAAGTCCTCGTTTCTATGGGATTGTGTTCCAAGACGGGCAAAAACTCAGAAAAACTACGGCAGAAGTGGTAAACCTTGTACGTGTCTGGATTGGAATGAGAGTATGGCTGCTGACTGGACACTACAGACTCGGAGAAACAAAGACAAGCCTGTGCAAATATTGTCAGAAGAATGAAGAAACAGCAAATGTCCTCTGTCGGTGCGAAACCATTTGCAGGCTGATTCCCACTCCTGTAAGAAGAAAAACCAAGGCTGGAAGGATACACCCCATTAAAACTTGTATGATCTGATACAAACGTTAAGCTTATCGAAGAGTCTATATAATAATGGAATTTGCACAACAGACCAATATTGGTCGCGGTGCATGAGGTCCTAAAGAGGCTGGTAAAGGTAGTAAAGTGGATCGAGAATGACTTAACTACATAAAATTCTCCGATGATATAGTTCTACAGTCAAAAAGTTTACTAGATCTACATGGAATGGTTGAAAACGTGACAAGATAATGTTCTGCAGTAGGTCTTGTAGTGAACCCTTCTAAATGCAAACTGCCAACCAGACCACCTCGGATGAACAACATTATGGGAAAGAGAGGAAGAAGTGATCTATCCTGGCCACAAAATAATCATTCATGATCTATTTTCAGAAATAGCTCAACAGTGTACTCTCCGTCAAAGATGCTGGCGTGGCTGCGAGATCATAACAGCAAAAACGATACAGAAACTTCAGTTCAAGGTTAAGACCTTGAAGCGGTATTTGCTACGCATACCTAGAAGAAACTCGTGGATGAGGAAGCAGATTGGGCGCAGACAGTCGCGACAATTTCCAAATAAAGTGGAATTGGGCAACCCATTTTATGAGAGGCGTCGAGATGGTCTAAAACAATTATTGAATATACAGTGAAAGACTACCAAAGAAGAAAGGGCACCAATACTACGAATGGGAAGTAAGAGATGAATAAGCTGTGTAAAGGAGCAACGTAAGGAAAACATGGCAAATAACTTCCAGGTGTATGTTTATCTTTCTGTGCTATTTCTGATTTCTTCGTATTTAGGAAAACATCTGATTTCCCGTTGATGAGCAATCGTTCTATTAATCATCCAAACAACAATATTAACAAAAAATTGCATATTCTAGGAACTATTTGCATCAAACAATTTATTCCACTGTTTGTACCAGTATATTCTTAATCGAGAAATAAATTTGTTAAAATAAGAAAAATATTCAATTTAGAAAATAAGAGAGATTATATTTTTAGATGTTTAATCTATTTTACGAATACTAATTTGATATATACGTGCAGCATTATTTTTAATATTTTGTGTAGTCAATTATCTCAGTTTTATCCAGCGAACGTTTCTATTAAAAAGGAAGGACATCATCCACCCTCCTATGTATCCTAAGTGAATACATTTTCATAATTGTTTCCTATTGATAAAAGTGTGTCCTTCTTGGCGCCTTTTAATCTCGTTAAAATTCAGCCCGATGATCATATTGTTTCTGCCTTATTGTTCAATCAGGAAAGGAAGCCAGGCGTGTTTAAGCCCGTGTGATTGAATATTTTGTCTATAATTTGACTGTAGATTGTTAGGCGGTGAAATATTCTGAATTGTATGCAAATCAGATACACTGTTCAAACGCCGTATTTCCGCCTCGCCTATTTATATTGTTTTTAATAGTTTTCCTCATAAGTTAATGGTTTTTGGAGTTAATGAAACGAAAATAAAATTTCTATTCGAAATTCGTAAGTGTCTGCACGAAGATATCAGATATCTCAGGAACATTCGTATTTCACAAGAATGGTAGTTTGATTACAGGACGCAAGGTACATATTTCATAATAATCACTTTGCACCGGCTTGTTTACACTTTCCTCATCCTGCTTTCTCTAACGTGAAAAACTTTTACAGTTTGTTTTTTAAATGTACGTTTACGTATAAAAAACTGACCTACTCTACCGCTTTAACTATTTAAAATTACATTTTGTTTAATATTAAACTAAACACATGTAACGTTTTTAATTGGACATGTCGCCAACTTTTCACTGACACCCCATTCTCTATTCTAGAAGCTTCCTATCCAATTAATCTAGAATCCTATTTAACTGACCGTAGCTTAATAGTGAGGTGCGGCACCGAGTACTCAGATAGATCAATACAAGCCGTCGCCCACAAAGGAACATTTTTGGTCCCATCATGTATACTACATATTTATGCTGCTGACATTCCTATTCATCCAACACCGCATTTCTGTCTTTTAATCTGTACACTATCTCTCATAGCTAAGAACACGATGAGCTTATCAAACACTGGTGCAAAAAGTGAAAAAATAAACAGGTCCTAAATGAGGACAGATGTACCCAGTGTACGTACATGGAACATTGAAAAATCAGTGTCCTCTTTACATCAACAACAACGAACTACCGAATTCCAAGTCAAAAACGAGGTCCTCTCTATCCAGGACGATCTTAACATTTCTTTCAACGAATGTATCCGATCCCGCTTCCAAATGTTCTATCTATATCTCTCGCTTTCTCCCTCTCTCTCACTCTCACACTCTCTCTCTCTCTCTCTCTCTCGTTCTTTCTGACTTTCTCTCTTTATCTGTTAAATCCCCATCTATTTATTTATTTATCCCAATCCATCTGCTTATCTATCTATTTATATTTTTCCATTTCTAAGCATTGTATATATATAATCGGATAGGTTTCGTGGTCCGATTGGCCAATTAAATTATTTAAATTATTTAATCTTTAAGAAAGGTGTTGGTGGAGATAAAAAAGAAAAGTGGCAAAGAGGAGGGAAATTTCAAAAAAGGTGATGTTGAGATGGGAAGTTGGTGTCCGAGTGGACCGAAGTCACGCTAGCTCAAGTGGTAGAGCAACGGCGTATTTAGCCGTCGGTCGAGGGTTCGAATCCCGCTCGTGGCACTGACTTTTTATCTCAACCTATACCTTACTTAGATTAATGAATTGAAAAAATTGTATATATAATTGGATTTTGTTCTTTTTTACTTTCTCCCTCTATGTTAGACGTGTCTCTTTTTTCCAACACGTTACAAAACATATAAGTGTGTGTATGTGTATTGGCAAACATATAATATTCCATATATTATATAAAACAGTTCATGCTACTTAGAAGTCCTGGCGATCGTTTTCTGTCAATATTGATCCAAAACAACTCTTTGAAAGTCCTACGATAATACCAGATTGTCGAATGTGAAAGATACAAGATGACCCTGGGGTATGCCCTGTTTATACGTTACGACGGGATTTGGGTCAGTTTGGGGGTGTGTGATAGAGGAAACTACATTTTCGGAAGAGACTTGGGCGCGATCTTCACGAAGAAAACAAATCAGTGAAGTACTACGTGTAGTAAGTGTATGTATTTTAATCCCTGCTAAATAATATAATATTTTGGTTTTTAGTGTGTGGATATTTCTGATATAGTTTCTTTGTTTAAAAGAAAAAAGCCTAACTATGAAAAATTGTTTCAAAAGTTTGCAAAAAACATGCACGAATCTATTAATCTAATTTCCAAAAGTATTACAATCGATGTTTGTTCCGTCCTGGGGATAGGGGAGATGTTCTAATAACAAAACAGCGTGCAATAACATGGTCCGTAAACCCGAAAAGGGGCAAATTGATATCCAAACTTCTCCTCGGCCGCCTGTTAACTTACAAGGGCAAGGAGGCCATAAAACTTAGAGCCATTATCCTTTCCAGTTAAACCGATCGATAATATATCCCAGAAAGCTGTTGAAAAAAAAATGGCTAGACATTTGTTATTAGATAATATCTTTCGTACGTAGCGTGGCTTTTTATTTTCAAACTGTATTGTATTCACGCTAGGAAAATCAATTTTAAAGAACTAATTTTATGAAAACTTTTCTTAGTAAGAATACTACCAATTTTTTGGATTTTGTAGATAAAAACATTCTTTTCCCCACCTAACATATTAACTAAATATTTAATTATTATTTTACAATCACAAACTTACGAAAGAGGAATCCATAAATCTTCCGTTGTGTCTTGTAATCTCCCTGAAACAAAAGAAAAGGCAAATTGTAAAATTATGAAATATTTCAAAAACGTTTTATGTACACATTAGTACGTAAGGCCAGCAATGTGACGTTGTAACTTTAACTTGTACAACGAGGCGAAACAGTTAACAATGGACGGTCATTCTTCACTTTGTCGTTCATGATTTAGAAAGATTTCGAATGAAACTTTCAAGTATTCAAAAAGAAATATTCGGATAGAGAGAAATGAAAATAAAAAGTACAGAATGTTTGAAATTTATTTCCCATTGCACCACTATTTTGTTACATTGTATTATTACGTTTTCTTTTTTTTATTATTATAATTAAATAAACAAATTCAAAACAAAAAAGTATTCTCTATTTGTAATAAAACGTTTCTTTTTGGTGTTTTCACGATTCACGTGGGATCAGTGTTGGTGCTTTCCCTGCTTATACCCATTTTCAGTCGTGAGTATGTGTGAAGCAGGGGTGCCCCTCGTTCCAGAACTGAGGAAGCCGAGAAGCTTAAACGCATCTAACAGATTGAAACATCACGGGTATAGACAGAAGAAAAATAATCGAAAATGACCGAAAACGAACAAACAAACAAAAATTTAAAATATTCACAGATCTTCCTATAATTTCCTACGATTTGGAAGACTTCTCAAGAATATCATATCACGTCGATTTTTTTGTGAGATTTCCTCATGAGCTGATGCCACGCCCTACTTATCCACGACTGATGAGGAATGGGTGCTCTAGTCAGTGTTGGTGCCTCAACCCGCTTATAACTCAAATTTGCCACTAAAAGAGAAGAGAAACCAACAACAAAATAACAAAACAGGCCAAAATTCAATGTTTAATTACTAATGACTGGTTAAGTAAACTGAGCCATTGTAAAACAGAATAATATGTTATTACTAGTGTCGGCAATGATGTAGAGTTTAAATGGTAAAATGACGGCTTATTTAAAAATTATCATTATACAACATTAAATAAATTATTAATTGTTATAACTAAAAAGAACTTTAAGGTGCTTTAAAATAAAAGTTTGTTTGTTTTTGCTAGTGTTTTAACGTAATAGTAATTAGAGGCTTGTAAGTCTTCCAAATTTTCTTCAATTTAACATCCTTTGATAAATGGCTTTAACTCGTTATAAAATTCTGGATTACTTCAATATATAAATACGTTCATTTTTATTCTTATTTTAGAGAGAAGTAATCAGCATTCATTATTCTTCAACGAGGAAATTCACGAGTTTCTGAATCGAATATTAATAATTAAACTAGCTCAAAATTCCTCTCTTCCCATATATTTTAAACTGAATTATGCAGTCAATTTAGTTCACTTGCCGGTAAATAAATTCTCAGGGAAGGTAAGCGACCCACCCCTAACGACTATGACGAGGCCGAAGTCGAGCCTCAGAGCCTTTGAAGTCACTAACACACCCTGCGAAAATTATTGCAAGAAAGTTCACCTTAGAGAAATAATATTTTGATAATTAATTATAATTATATACCAGTAATGCAGTAATATTACTGTCACCTGAGAAACTTGAGAAACCTAGCTAAAGAGTTGATAATCGGCCATAACTAAAAGTCCACATAAATCTATGGCTTTAATTATATTCTTTATTGTATTTTTTTATTATTATTCACAAAATTGAAAATAGAACATTTCAAAAAGTGAAAAAAAATTAAATACCCTGATCAGCAAAGTGATATTTTTTTAAGAATTTTATTATACCTAATATAATTTTTTATCAAAAACATTAAACTCAACTATAATTAAAATTAAAAAACAATTTCTAATTGAAATCTTCTTAGAGGTTAGAAACGCCTGCTCTGTATTGCTTCTGCTAAGTTCAAGTGGAATCGAATATTTCACATCTAGTTAAAAGTAGATAGTATAAAACCATCCCAATAAAAAGACATCGTGGAATATTTAATATAAATAGGAGTTTAACTTAATGATTTCTTTCTCATAAACTACTCTCACGTGCAACAGTTATCATTTTTTCAATTTGATCTCTCTCTCTCTCTCTCTCTCTCTCTCTCTCTCTCTCTCTCTCTCTCACACACACACACACACACACACACACACACACACACACACACACACTACCTCTCTATCTATCTATCCATCTGTCTTTCTTTCTATATATCTATCTACCTGCCTAGCTTTTTCTCACTCGCCCTCTTATTCTATTCTTTTTCCTCGTTTACACTGCTGTGGAATTAATTATCTACCACGATATGTAAACGTTAAAGGAAAATAAAGATTTTACTTTTCTCGCGGTTAGATATTTGAAAGTGAGTCGGATATCTTTACACAAAACACACACACATACACCTCTTAACTTTCTTTACTATCCGACGAACCGAGAATAAAGCCATGTCAACGTTTTACGAGCGCCCGCTCGAAGGGATTTCTCGTGCTGTTTTAACGACCAGCGATATTATCCTCACATAAAATCAGAGGATCGTTGCAAGAACCCTAACTACTACACGCATGGAGTACTTTATGAATTTTCCATTCGACATTTTCCAGCTGTGCTTCTGGCCTGAGTCTAATAAATAACAAATTCAGGACCTCCAACTAAACTTAATAAAACTCAAAACAGTATTCAATATATCAAAGTTTGTAATGTTATTTTATTTTCCAAACCAATCAAAGTGAAGTACTTCAAGTAAGTAATCACGATTCAAAGGAACGCATAGACTGTGCATAAAGAACTCAAAATTATTAACAATCAGCACATCAAAATATCTGCACTCTTTTTTAGTTCTGTCCGTGGGAGAGAGGAAGGGTCCGATCTGTTTTCCAATATTCTTTGTGTATGCTGATTACAGCATTTAATGTATATTCATGAACTTTCAACAAAAATAATGCAATATTTTTTCTTTAGCGCTGGATCTAAGAGAATTTGTAAATTTTGATACTCAATATTTGCCTAAAGCTTTCAACGTAAACAAAAATGTATTTAAATATATATGTATATATACAATAAAACAAATCACCATAAACGAAATGTATTGGTTTTTCAGTAATATAAAATTTAAAATAAGTTTTAATTTGTGCAAAACTAAAGTAAATTCTAAATTATTTTGTATATGCAAAACATCGTACCAAAACAAACTCCCTCCCTCCAGAAAAGAGAGAAAGAGGAAGAGAGAGAGAGAGAGAGAGAGAGAGAGAGAGAGAGAGACTTAATTATATCTAGTTAACGTTTTACTTTAAATGTGTATCATATAAGCTCTACTTTTATAATCTAACGTTTAAATGCTTTTTCAAAATAATCACAGTTGTTTTAAAGTATCGGTATAAGGTTTTACTAAATATAAAGGGTTTTGATTCAGAGCGAAGGTGGATTTTTAACCCCCCAATGAGCGGGACCTCGCTCCTTGAGACTATTGACTCTTCAACTACTTCCCTCCATTTTCTGAGGGGTTAAACACGTTTTAAATATTAAAAGAAGAAGGAGAAAAACTGTTAATTGAAACGTTGTTTAAAAAGCAGCAAGTACTGCAGAAATCGCGAAAAAGTTATTAAAAGTGAGTAGTTTTAAAAATAACGGTTTCGGTGGTCAGTACGGTATAATTATAAAAAGCCTGACTAATTCAAAAGTACAATAGCAATTAAGTAACCGAATAAAGAATATTTTGTACAAATATGTACAATCTATTTTTAACAGTTGTTTAACGCACAATTTTTTAATTATTATATATTAATAATATATAATTAATAATAGTAATAATAATTATATATATATATTAATTTTGATTGGTGTTGAATTCAAAATGTACAAGGGATTTTGATTTTTTAATTTATTTCACCGTAGTTTTATTGGCCAACAAGGCTTTTTACTTTGGTAAAAAATATCCAAAGAGAACAGTATAGCCTGAGATACCACCTGAAAAAGATATATATTGCCTGATCAGTCATGTTCTATACTTAGCTAGTGTGTGTTGATTTGAAAATTAAAAATATGTAATCAACCAGGTTGATAAGTCTGTATATTGGTCAATTTCGAGCATTCCGACTCCATTCCTGGAGTGTTATGGTCTGTCTCGTTTTGATTTCCCCCATTTTTTAGGGGTTGATCAGCATTATAAGCAGGGTGAGTCACCCATAGTGAAAATGGTGAATTGTATGTCTAACGACCGTACTTACAGGTTTGTTTGCGGGCAGTGCTCAAGAAAAAATTTCATAAATAATATTTGGGATTTTGTGATAAAGCCGAGAAATTTCCCAAAACGTAGGAACTTTTTCCGGCCATTTTGGTCTGTCAGACGCATTTGAGCTTCTGCCATTCTTCAGACGTAGATCAGGGTAATAAGCAGGGTGAATTTTTTTAAAAACTTAACGGAGAAATTGGTTTGTAAAATTTATTAAAACTTTTTTTTTTTGTTTAGTTGTTGTTTGGCCGGTATGAAACGTTACGGCTTCTTTTATTCTTCAGTCGTGGATCAAGTGGATCAGGGTTTTAAGCTGGGTGAAGAACCTACGTACCCATGATTGAACATGTTGAAATGTCAGGAGCGCCTGACTGACCAAACTACCGGTTCATCAGATGGCTGGGTTCAAGAAAAACTCACAAAAGATATACGAAATTTTATGATAATGTCGAGAAGTCTGCCATATGGTAAGAACTTGTAAAAAGATTTGAATAAAGTTTAAATCGAAATTTATTTTTTGTTACTTTGGTAGTCTTATGGTCTACTGGCCCTAACTGTATCGCTTGTAGACTCTAACGAACGAGAAAAATCTTTAGTAACAACCTTTTCATGCAATAAAAGCTGCAGTTATCAATAATAACTAAATCTTCCCCTTCGCTTAAATCCATGATGCACGATTTTTTATAGAAGTTTTCTCCCCAGAAGTAGAATGTACCAAGCATTGCAAAGCTTATTAAATGACATAGTTTTTATAAAAATCCCCAATCAATAGGAAGTTTTGCCACAGCGTAGCAAATTTTTGAAATCTCTTCAAAGATCTTTCAATGTTCAAATCTGATAGGT